GGTGCGGGCGCGCGCGCTCCCGGTTGCAGCGGCGGCCGCGCGCTCCGGGCCGTACGAGGCCGGCGGAGGAGGGAAGTTTCTCAAGTGTGAGCGTCCTCAGACCCTTAGGACGCCCCCGAAGGCTCCGGGGTGGCCAAGTCCTGCTGATACTGGCCCTTCTGTTACGGGGAGGCAACAGCTGGACCCGGGCCGGGGCGGGCGGAGGACTGGGGGCTCTAGGGTGATTACAAATGGAGGGAGAAGCGGAGGTGGGTGAGGATGACACGGGTGGGATGACTGGGATCGCCCTGTGACGAGGAGGGACTCGGAGGGGCGAATGTGCTCAGTCCAGACGCTGGATTTTGTGGAAACCACCTCAGGAGCACAGACGCTAAAGATAAGGGGAAACAAAAAATCCTAGTCAGCTTTATTGATTGAAGAGAATTTCTCCTGCAGTTTAAACGTGGGATAAACAGGTACCAAGGGCATCTTCGCACAGAGAAATGGAAACCAGCATTTGGTAAAGATCTACAGACAGGAGAAGGCACTGTTGGCCGCAGTTCCTTGTTTGGAAGTCTTGCAACAGCTGTGAATCCTACTGAACGTAAGGAACTTCTCACAGATTTCCCAGACAATCCATGTCAGAGCTCAACTATGGCAAATTGTAATGGAAATACCTTGACATATCCAGTGTCACAAGCGAACAATTTCATCCCTGGTCTGGGATTGTCGGAGCCTTCAGTATTCTCCTCTTCCATCCCATTTTGGTGATAGGAATATATGACTCCAACTTGATTAGATCTCTTTCTGCTAAAAATCGAACAACAGACCTGCTGCTGCTGTTGCTGTTAGGTACCATTCAGTTCAGACTCAGCAACCCTTTGTGCAACAGAACAGAACACTGCCCTGTCCTGCACCATCCTCACAATCCTTGCTGTGCTTAAGCCCATCTTGCAGCCGGTGTGTCAAATCATCTTGTTGAGGTTCTTCCCCTTTTTCACTGACTCGCCACTCACTCTACCCATCGTCTTTTGCCACAGATGTGCCTAATCCAATATGCCGTTTGATTTCTTCTGCTTTCTTTCTTTCTTTTTTTTTAAATTTTATTTGGATTTGGGTGAAGATTTACAGAGTAAATTCACTTTTCATACAGCAGTTCACATATACTTTGTCTCATGTCATTGACCAAAATTTACAATGCAACAGCTCCCCTCCCTACTTCTGCTTTCTTGAGTTGCTTATGGATCCAAGTAAAATGAAATCCCTGACAACTTCAATCTTTGCTCCATTTACCATGGTGCTGTTTATTGCCCCAGTTGTGAGGATTTCTGTTTCCTTTATGTTGAAGAGTAATCCATACTGAAGACTGTAGTCTTTGATCTTCATCAGTAAGTGCTTCAAGGCATCTTCACTTTCAGCAAGCAAAATTATGTCATCTGCATATCACAGGTTGTTAATGATTCTTCCTCCAGTCCTGATGCCATGTTCTTCATGTAGTCCAGATTCTTGGACTATTTTCTCAGCATGCAGATTGAATACGTATGGTGAAAGGATACAACCCTCACACACATCTTTCTTGATTTTAAACCATGCAATATCCCCTAGCTCTGTCGGAACCACTGGCTCTTGGTCTATGTGGAGGTTCCTCACAAGCACAATTAACTGTTCTGGAATTCCCATTCTTTGCAGTGGTACCCATCATCTTTTATGATCCACATAGTTGAAAGCATTTCACAGTCAATAAAACACAAGTAAACATCTTTCTGGTATTCTTTGCTTTCAGCCAAGATCCATCTGACATCAGCAATGATATCCCTCGTTCCACGCCCGCATCTTAATCAACTTGAATTTCTGGCAGCTCCTTGTCAATGTACTGCTGCAACCATTTTGAAATTATTTTCAGCAATATTTTATTTCCCTGTGATATTAATGATAAGGTTCAATAATTTCCACATCATGTTGCATCACCTCTCTTCAGTATGGGTACAAATTTAGATCTCTTCCAGTCAGTTGGCTAGGTAGGGTCTTCCAAATTTCTGGGCATAGCGAATGAGTGGCTCCACTGCTGTGTCCATTTGTTGAAGCATCTTAATAGGTACCTAGAGTCTTGTTTTTTGCCAATTCCTTCAGTGCAGCTTGGACTTCTTCCTTCAGTATCATGAGTTCTTGATCCTATGCTACCTTCTGAAATGGTTGAACATCAACCAAATCTTTTTGGTACAGCAACTTCCATCTTCTTTTGATGCTTCCTGCATCAGTTAACATTTTGCCCATAGAATCTTTCAACATTACAACTTGAGGCTTGAATTTTTTCTTCAGTTCTTTCAGCTTGATAAATGCCTGAGCATCTTCTTCCCCTTTGATTTTCCAACTCCAGATCTTTGCACATTTCATTATAATAGGTTGCTTTGTCCTTTCAAGCTGCACTTTAAAATCTTCCATTCACCTCATTTACTTCATTTCTTCCATTCACTTTAACTACTTTCCTTTGAAGAGCAAGTTTCAGGGTCTCTTCTGACATGCATTTTGGTCTTCTCTTCCTTTCTTTTCTTTTTAACAACCTTTTGTTTTCATGGAGGATGTAGTTGATGTCACCCCACAACTGGTATTCAATGGGTCAGGTCTATTCTTCAGGTGGTCTCTAAATCCAGAACACACTAAATGTGTTCTGCCCCAAAATCTACCACTCACCAGTTTAAATTGTTCTGGCTTTTAAAGTTCTCTTATCGTCAGGGTTTCATCTCGGATGTTTCCATTCCTCTATACAAACCACCTGGGTTTCCCAGCCAGAATCAATTACTCCAGTATTACATGATCTCTGGGAGCTCTGGTGGCATAGTGCCTAAAGTATCTTCTTCATCATCTCTTTTCACAGATGTAGTCAATTTGATTCTTGTATAATCCATCTGGCAAAGTCCAGATGTGTAGTCACATTAATGTTGTTGAAAAAAGGTATTAGTAATAAATAAGTTGTTGGTCTTGTAAAATTCTATCATGGGATCTCAGACACTATTTCTATCACCAAGGTCATATTTTCCAACTACCAATGCTTCTTTGTTTCTAACTTTCGTATTCCAGTCACCAGTAATCAGTACATCTGATCGCATGTTTGGTCAATTTAAGACTGCAGAAGTTGGTAAAAACCTTCAATTTCCACATCTTTAGCTATAGTGGTTGGTGCATAAATTTGAATAATAGTCATAATAACTTAATAACTGGTCTTCCTTGTAGACATACGGATATTGTCCAATCACTGACAGGACTGCACTTCAGGATAGTTTTGAAATATTCTATTTGATGATGAATGTGAAGCCATTCCTCTTTATCTTGTCATTCCTGGCATAATAGACCATATGACTGTCTGATTGAAAATGGTCAGTGCCATTCATTTCCGTTCACAAATGCTTAGGATTTCAATCTTTATGCATTCCATTTTATTTTAGAAAACTCTCAATTTTCCTAGATTCATACTCCTTACATTCTATGTTCCAATCATTAATGGATGTTTCTTCTCATTTTTAGTCATACCAACTCAGCAAATAAAGGTCTAGAAAGTTTCCTCCACCTTTTTTTTTTTAATTTTATTTTAATCTTTATTATTATTATTATTGTGATTTGGGTGAAGAGTTACAGAACAAATTCACTTTCCATACAGCAGTTCACATATACTTTGTCTCATGTCATTGACCACAGTTTACCACAATGCAACAGCTCTCCTCCCACTTCCTCTCCATA